CTTTCTAATTTGCATTCGGAGGAAACGTGCCACATTTTCCACAACAGGCACCCCAGCCAACACCACTGGGAGGGAGACGCTCTCTTCTCAGTGTCTGCAGCTTACCCCTAAATGCTATGGCAGCAGCAGCTACCAGGGCAAGGGGAATACAGAAACGAAGCGTCTTTTAAAACTCTTGAGTAATTTGGATATCACAATCATGACCTAAAAAGGCAAAGACTAGGCATTCAGATGCTGCGGATGCAGGCTGCACATAAACAGCAGGATATTTAGTCACTCGGCCATTTTATGAAAGCCCAGGAAGAACAAGCCAGCCACCTGGTTGTCACACACCATGTTAATCAGCCACAGGTCCCAGCTGGCACTTGATAATGAACACACTGCCCATTTCACCCTGCATGGAGGTAACAGAGCACATGCACACGTGTGATCTTGTGTGACCTTCACAACCCTACTAATTATAACCTCCTTTCACAGATACTGAAAACTGAGGCTCAGGATATGTGACTTGCCCAATACCAAAGTGCCAGAACCAGACCTAGAGGCCAGGCCTTCTGTGGGCTCTTTCAAGAGGACCCCGTCTTCATCTCCCACTGCATCCCATTACCTCCCATACCTGGTCACGCAGGTGAGCAGGAAGAGAACTTCCTAAGTAAATTGTTTCCTGCTGCCCTTCCAGGTGGGTTATATGGAAGTGTTTCTTTTCTCATCAGGTTGATCCCTGGCTGCCCTACCAAAGTGGGGAGCTGGTGAAAATAAAGGAATGGAAGCTAGGTGTTGCTCTCAAAGCCAGGAGGGCAGAAGCGCTGCAACTGATTTTGTACTGTTGAATGAAACATAAGAGCTCTCATTGCATAATGCCCACTCAGTTATTAAGGAAACAGGATGAACTGGCTGCATACAGGACGGTAATCACCTGGCAGCCACAGGACAAGCAGGCCGTGATTGGAACGGTAGGGAGAAGAGGGGAAAGTCAACAGAACAGAAATTCAGAATGCAAGAAGGGCTCCAAATCAGAAGCAGACCCTCTATACACATTTACAGAAAGAGCTTCCTCTGCCGCTGCACAGGCCAGGCCTCTCCTCATGAGCCCCGAAGTCTAGTCCTGCGCACCGTTCCCTCAGACTGTCAGGAAGGAGGTATATCTTCACAGAGAGAAGGGCAGACGCCCAGACGGAGCCCAGAGTCCACAGACTCATTAGTGATTCTTTCCTACAGTCCATTCTGTTTTCTGTCAACAGTAAGGAAATACATTCTAGCAAATGACATCCAGTAATGTTTTAATTAACTGTAGTTCTTTTGTGCTACAATATGCACCAAGAAATCACTTCCAGATGGGGAAAATGAAAGGTGTTTACACAAAAAAGCAATTGCTTTATTTTAAGGAAATGTACATCTCACAAAGGTGTAGTAGTTGGGGGTCCCTGGAGACTATCCATTTTGATAAATATTAGAAAGAGACTGGAGATTTTTATTTAACAGATAAAATTCAAGGGTATCCTTTACATATGCCAGCTCTTCCAGTGTCCGTGTTTCCAAGGCTATTGCTTAAATGGTCCAACACAGTTCTATTTTATTTTTAGGAATCTGACTCGGAGTAGACAAGAAGTGTGAAACATTTACCTTCACCCTCAAGCAAGCTAGTGATTCTGGAGATTTCTCTTCTCTTCCTTGGGACAGGAATTACATTTCCAGCTGTGAACTTTTGGCACTTTCCTCACATTCTGTAAACAAGGAACCAGGTTTCCTTGTCCAACAGCAATTCAGGATGGGCCCGTATAACACCCCCGCATCAGGCGGCGCCCTCAGACCTGCTCCATGCCCCAAGCTGCCCATAGTTTTTACACTGGTCTTGCCACTAGCTCTCCACCCTTTTGATCTGCCCTGAGGAGGCCACCCTACACGTGAGAAAGCAGACATCCTTTCTGGGTACTGGATCTTGGTTCCGCGAGAGAGGAAGGAGTGGCAATAGTTACCTTCAATCTCAGAACTGAATTTGAAGGTCACTTCCTGTCCACTGTGGCTTCTGTTTCACTGTTACTGCCCAAACCGAACTTTCTCCAGGCTGGGCCCTTCTGAGTCAGCTGTCAGGAAGTCTGTCCATCATTGGCATAGCAGTTGGAAGTCTCCATTAATTATAAATTACCAATATTTATTTTAACCACATAAAGTGACTTCAGTTGTTTTTTAAGGGACTAGAGAAAGTGGGGGGAAGGGAAGAGTACAGTATCTAAGTTTAGCCGAATCACAGAGTGGTTAGCTGCTGCTTTCAGCAATGGGTATTCCTTTATATATGTTATTTTGAAGTGACAGTAATAAATAAAGCTTCTGATCTGGGGCTTGGTCATCAAAACAGGAAGATCCTAGTGAGTACAGGGAGAGCCTGATTCCCGGCATGGTCCCTACCATCAACACAAGTGTGAAATGAAAGCTGCTAGCTGTCAGCAAAGAATTTTTACCACGTTGGTACCAACTCGATTGTATAGTAATAACACTTCGCTTAGACAACCAGAAAAACAGACATTTATGAAAATGTACTACAGGGACCCCTCAAAAAAGCAAATTTCTCTCTACTGCAACAATGGTTCTTAACCAGGAGTGAATATCATCGTCACCTATGGAACTTTTTAAACATATATGCCAGGCCCCACTTGGTGTACTGATTCAGAACCTCCAGGCATCTGAATTTTTAAAAAGCGCCCAGGTGATGCTGATGCTGCCCCCTGTAGAGAGACATGCTCTGTCTCTGTAGGACAAACACAGCATTCAGTCCCTGTCAATGAGACATTTAACATAACTCCTACTGACATCTGTTGGCTCCCTGGAGATTCCTGACAACGTAATAAATCAGGAAACTCCACTGGCTGTGACCACCAGCGGGGAAAACAAAGCAGCCTGACGTCTCAGTGCCGTTGTGGAGACATCCAGAAAATGGCTTGTCAAGAAAGAACCAAAAAGAAAAGTGTGGATCTGTAAACACCAAGTGCCAAGAACCAGGGGCGGGAGTCGCTAGCTTTCCCGGCTCCCCAGGTCGATGACAGACGGCGGGATTTGCTGTGCTGTTTGGAGGCAGGCCCACCACCCCTTTCAGGAGTGGGGCAGAGAATGTGAACTTCAATTAGCGCTGCCCATAAACTTTCCCAGAGCAAGACGGAGACTGTCCCGGTAACAGGAAATCTCTTGACTGAGCGTCCCAGGTGCTCTCCCAAGTGCCCCCATCCTGCCCTTTTCTTATTTAGCAATCCTGTCCTAAGAGAGCTCAGCTCAAGGCCCCGCCTCCTTCTTCCACCACTTCCGCTATTTTCTTCTCAGTGTTCCGGACTCTAAAGTGCTCAAAACATGAGCGTCACACTGAACAGCAAGAAAAGGCTGGAAGCCAATGAAGAAATGAGGCCCTGGATCAAAGCTGGGACTAAGGAGGCTGAGGGAGAGGGAAAGAGAATAGTGGAAAGTGCTTATATTGGGAAAACAAGAAGGGAAGAAATAGTCCATTTTTCTGGTCGAATTTTCACACTTAACGCTTTCTCCTGTATGGGTGTTACAAGTTTTAGGGATTTTCAGGAAACTTTACCTTGCCTTCAGTACTCGCTTTTGAGTTTGATTTGATATCCTGACGTTACCCTGAAGCCTGTTACGTACATTCTCTGTAAAAAGCTCACCTTCCTCCTTAGCTCTCCCCACACCTGGCCAGCAGTTAGAATCCTGAACACATGTAAACCAACAGCGGTCACCTGTGGCCACAGTCAACCCAGGCTGTGCTTCAAGTGAAGGACAACACTGCCCGATATGCTGCCCGCTGTCTTGGTGCAGGAGGAGGAAAGAAGCAGTTCTAGGAGGCAATTCTCTTCCAAAAAGAGTATCGGCCTGCCAGGCCAGGGTGGACAGGCCGGGGCCCAGGGTGCGTCGGGGGCTGTTCCAAGCCTGGTGTTTAAGATCCATGTTCCATTTCCAGCGTGTCCACGGACTCAGGTTATTTTTCATTAGTAATCAAGTGACATGTCATTCGGGTGCTGCACATCGAGCTTGTTGTTTCAGGACTCTAGAAAGTATGTTGGATTTGAAAATGAATGGGTAGGAGGGGACTGGCAGGTACAGGCCTCCTGGGCTTTTGCACAGCTTCATCTGAGGACAGCATCTATGACATTCTTCCCAGGAAAGCTTCCCACTTTCCCTCAGACAGGCATTCCCTCTCAGGGAATTCTCTCTCAGGGCAGATGTGGGTCTGCCCCCATACAGGTCGAAAGCCCCACAGCAGGTAGGACACCTGGCTTCCAAGACCTGGCACAGACAGCCTCCTGGTGAGACACAGAGGGGCTCTCTCCCCTTAGAAGTATACAGAAAGGGAACTAGAGATTACTGAGAAATGAGAACACAGGACAACTTGGCCAAATCACAAAAAGAACCAGAAGCAAAACATGTACCAGGATGCTGGGATTTACAGGGAAGAATGCTCATATCACCACGCCCTTCATAAACAAAGGCTAGTTTCCTACACCTGCAATCTGCTACTTCATGAACTCAGGCCCTACAGCCAAACGCAGGGAGGAAGAGGCAAAGTCTCAGGGTTCTGGCTGCAGAGGTAACCTCAAACAGTAGCAGATGGAGGAAGGGGTGAGAGCCAGGCCTTCTCACCCAGCTGCCTGCATGGCGCATGGTAAGGAACAGGCCACAAGCCCAAGGGTGTGACTGCAGCAGTGAGACCACAGGAGTCGATGAACATCGACCAGGTAAGAGCAGCCCGGGAGCAGCAACTGAGCCACAGGGGGCCTCAGCCACTGCTGCCTGTTTCAGGAATTAGAGATGACCTAAACCACTTTTTTTACAACCCAGCCCTTACTCCACTTCTCTGATTAAGGTAGGAATTAAAAGAGGGCATGGCAGAAACACACTAACAATGTCCCAGGAAGTCTTGCGACTGACGATCTGAGAGTCACGGGGAGAACAGGAGAGGCCAGGAGGCTTCTGGGGAACTGGGTGCTGCGGGCCACCAGCCCTTGTATCTCCTACAGTCTCTTTTTAATTAATTTCTCTAGTTTCCGGATGCGAGATGATTCCTGTTCTGGCGTTGGAGCCATCAGCGACAGCGAGCTGGGGCCTTCTGCCCCCGAGGGCGGGGTGGGGAGCCTCTGGCGGCAGAGTTCCAGCATGCTGCTCTGCTCGCTTCTCTTCAGCCCCTGAGGTGCAAAGAGAAAGGAGAGCCACCATGAAGTCTGGGCCCCAGAGGGAGGGGAAGTCCTGCTGTGGACCCTCTGTTAGCTGAGGCTCTGCAAATAGCAGGACTGCTCTAGGCTGAGGACTAACACTCTTCAGAGGAGTTAGCAGCCCTGGGAAGCAGCCTGGGAGAAAAGCCGGAGAAGAAGAAAAGGTTCCAAACACAGGAGAGGAAGAAGGGGTCGAGAGAGAAGAAAAGACGGGTAAACACTGTGGGGAAGGTAATACTCCTGCTCCTCATTCTACGCACTCTACCCCCAGCCTGGCTGGGTAGCGGAGGTGCTACCAGAATCATCAAGTGTGTATGCCCAGGACCCTTCTGCTCAAAAGGCTTCTGAAAGTCCGGTCTGCAGAGTGCGTCAGGCATATTCTGAGGAAGCTCCCCAGGAGACCAGATCCCACCCCCCGCCCCCAGTTGAGAACCAGAGTCTGAGAAGGATGAGCAGGGGTGGACACAAGACACCAAGCTAACCTTCATGTCCAGTATCTTCTGGAAGGTTTCTGTGTTGCAGTCCGTAAGGAGTTTGATGTAGTTGTCCACAAACACCACTGGTGGCTCATGAGGTGCCATCACCACCTACCAAGGGAGAGAGACAACATCAGCCCTCCAGGAAGACTCACGGTTGGTGGGCAGGGACTCATTTCTCCTTAACTGCAAGCTGACCACAAACTGATTTGCTGAATCATAAATATCACCTGGGGTGCTTTTAAAGGCTCCGATTTCCATGTCTCTCCTCTGAAGATTCTTATTCAGTAGGCCTGGGTGGGGTCCCAGGTGAATTTTTAGAAGTCAGGACCATTTGGGAAACACTGTGTCAGAGGGTCTCTTTTTTGGGACATTTCATAGGTATGACGTGGTACCTGCTCCATCTGTCTTGACATATTATTGCTGAGAAATGGGCGGCAAAAGGAACCAACTTCAGCTGACTTTCTCAAAAACAAAAATTCCAAAGCTGCCTCACTCTTTTGAAGGCTTAAAATCTGGAACGTCATTTAAATTTTCAATTAATACACAAACAGAAGGAAAGTAATGGCATCGCAATACTCAAATTCATGTCTCCCTAGTTTGTGGAACGCAGTCTCTGATTTTCTTCCGCCAGCAGACTGATTTTGTTTTGAATTCCTGAGAAAGTACCAATGAGTGGCAAGGAGTAGTTCACTCAGAAATCCTCTGCAGATTAATTCCCAAATCGTGTGCGCTCTTCCTCTTCCTTCCCAGTAAGAAAACCAGCTGGGTAAGAAAATGACTAGGCTGCTTCCAATTTCCTGGAGCCATAAGCACAAGTTCTGTGTAGCCACCCTCACCTGGTCCCATTGATGCTGGGGCTCCCGCTGCTACTTTACTCCTGCCATTATTTCAGTCATTCTGTTTGTGAAACAGACCTGAAGAGCCTGCAGGCCCTGGGCTTTTAAAACCATCTCATGGGAGTACTATTCGCTCTCTAGCCTTCCCGTCCCTTCCAAATAGGCCCTTCTTCCTTTTTAACAAGTCCAGGCGGAAATCAGATGCTCAGGGCTTCAGACAGTCTCAACATCATCACTCCACGTACAATATTTTGTTAAATGGGGCTTTCAAAAAATAAACCCATCTGCTGATTAGATGCAGTGACTACATCTGTTCCAGGTTCTTTTAAAGTGGCAGCATATAGAAGGCAAAAGAAGCTTATGTGGAAGGTAGAAACTGATAGCAGGGGCTGAAATTCCTGTGAGAAGCAAAGGGATCCCTGACTTACACACTGATTCACAGTGGCAACGCAACATAACTTCCAATCTTGGCCAAATCCTACGACGAAGGATCTCATTACAACAAAGAATTCATTTGTCAGAAAGAATTACTGACTCCAAGTCCACTGACTTTCAACAATATTTGATGAGGCCAAAATCCAGTCCAGCCAAAGAATGTGCGTCATCCTTTGGGACAGGTGGGGACAGGCCCTAACCTACGCTTTCAAAACCAATATTCCTTGAAATAAGCGACCAAATAACCAGCCCCTGTTAAAAGAAGCCCTGAGGAAGACACAGCCATCAGTCACCTTGAGGATCATCTCAGCCCGGGTCATGCCTTTCACAACAATTTTGGTGTAACTGGCAGGGGCCTTCCTCACCACCTGTGAGCCGATGGAGGGTAGGTCGAGCAGCACCATCTTCAGGGAGTGGGTGTCTAGCAGCAGCTGTGGAGTGAAGCAGAATATTACTTACCAGCCACTTAGTATGGACATAACACCTGGAGGATTAAAAACTGCTGATTAAAAACTTTTTTTCTGATTGTAAATGTGATATGGTCTCTTTGCAGAAAATTTGGAAAATAAACATAAATGTAAAAGAAGAAAGTAATTATAATTCTCATCACGTTACCCAGGAAAACAACAGTTAAACTTGGTATAATTCCTTCCTGTCTGTGTGTGTGTATAAAAAATCAATCTAGAAATAAAACTAAATGATATTGTATATACACAGTATTTTCCCACTTAAATATGTGAAGTCTTTTGTATCCTATTTTCCCATATAGGTAGTCTTTTAAAAAGTCATGATTTTTAACGGTTATACAGTTCTCTATGCTGTGTGTGAGTATGTGTGTGTATAACTTTAAAATATCTAGCCATTGGCTAGAAGAGCCAGGGGGTGGCCTGCGGTGCAATGAATTGCTTAATGCGGCCCTTCTAGCCACAGTCTTTGTAACTCCCACCAAATGACTGGGTGGGGCTATGCATATGAGGTGCCTGTGGCCCACCAATGGGATTGGATAGCTTGCTAATGATATAAATCAGATTCGTGGAGGGACCATGCAAATAAGGTGTATGGAACCCTAACGAGAGGATTGGTCAGTTTTGCCACCTGGCGAGGCTTAAAGGGAGACACGGAGAGAGAGAGAAGAGCTGTAACATGGAAGACAGCAAGAGACGAGGGTGCAGCAGTGGCACGAGGGACGGTGGTGCGAGACGGCAGGAGCCAGGAGACAGGTGAGAGAGTTGTGGTGAGACTTGCTGTCCTATGGAACTAAGAGTTGTAACCAATGTGCAAGAAGGCCCCCAGCAGGACCCGGAGGCAGAGGGCGAGAAGCAGCTGTCCTGATTGAGGAACTGCGTTTGAGTTGTTCCTGTTACTTCCAAGTTGATCTCAGTCTTGAGTTGCACCTTGTTGCTTCCCTAATGAACTCTGTAATCTTGAGTACGGTCTTTGAGTTCTGTGTGGGCCACTGCTACAAATTATCAAATCTAGCAGAGAAGAAGAGAGTGCCATGGGAGGGGTGGCTGGTGTCAGAATTGGTAAAAAGGTTGGAAGGTAGAGGCATGTCTGACCTCTGCCTCAGGAATCAGCCTTGGGCTGTTGATGCTGATAATGATTCTCCTCCTTGCAAAGTTAGAGGAGGTCAGACACCTTGGCCCCCAGGCCATTATTACACCATTTCCCTATTTATTTTGTTTCTAGATTTTTACTATTATAAATCATAAATGCTGTGATGGACAGCATTCTAAATATAACTGTAGGTATATCAATGGCATTTCCTTAGGATATAGTCTGGGGCAGATCAAAGAATGAGGTCATTTTTAAGGTTTCTGATACGTATCTTCCAACTGCTTTCCGAATGGAACGTACCTATTAACACACCTGTCAGCAGTGCAGATTGCACCCTCATACACACTGAAAATTATAAACATTTTACTTATTCAGTAGTCAAAAATGATATCTCATTATTGTTATATTTTGAATTTCTGTGGATGCTAGTGAGAATGTAGGAGATTTAACCAAACCTAAACATCAGTATTTTGGCAACAATCAGCCTTTTTCTTTTTTCCCTTCTTGGATGCCAGTGGAGCCCTGGTAGCACAGTGGTTAAGAGCTATGGATGCCAATTATTTGGAAGGATACCAACTTTCCTAATGGCCCAGCAAATGCCAGGAATGATGGATACTAGGTCTGCCTGATCTCACTTAGTCTTCACAAGACCCTGCCATTTATTGTCCCCATTTTATTGATGAGAAAACCAAAGCTTCAAAGGTTAAGGAACTTGCTACTGGCATCCCAAACGATGGACGGGATTAGATGATGAGGTAGACAGGAACTACAAGCTGTAGCTCAAATCCCTGCTGTCCAGGTAAACGCCACTGGGCAGTGTTGGTTCAGAGCTCACACTGTTTTCTGCCACCTCCTCATGTACTTCTAACCTGCTGCTGCTCTTGGCAACCAGGTGGCATAGAAATGGCTGAAGCCTAGAAGGGCCAACTCTGGCCTGTTCAGATGGTACAGGAGAATGGAACTGTATAACCAACCAGAGAAAAGCACCTATGGGTGACAGTCCCCACCGCTGCCACCACTACAACTCTGACGATACTGGTCAATCTTATGTTCAAGACAAGATCTATATCTGCTACTGCCTGCTCCTAATAAAAAGCCTTTCATAATTATATCAAGCAGGCATGGAGTGGGATTGCTTCAGGCCCTACAAAACTGCATCCTCAGATTCTGCCTGTACTTTCCTTTAGACAGGAAAATTAACCACTGAAGATAAGATAAACTCATTTATTAAACTCATTTATAAGATAAACACTATTAATCTAATGGTGATGGTGATTCTAATTTTGATGGTGGTATAAAAACATGGGGAAGACATTTATGTTTGACTCAGAATAATTTAGCTGGAAATACTGCCCTTGAACACTGCTGAGAAAGGCTACACTAAAGAAGGAACACTTGCGTGCAGTGACGTGGTTAGCCAAAGGCCTAACCCTGCAGGTCATTCAACTGCAAGCCAGCAAAGCACTGGGGCATTTCGGACCTTTCTAGGTTTCCAGAGATGCAAATTCTTACTATCCTGGTGTCTGCTTTTTGAAAAGGCCATGGGCTCACAGAGAAAGGTACCCAAGCATCCAAGAAGAGCCTGGCATGAATGGCTTGAGGGCCACACAAAGAGCCCCACATTAGAAGAACACTGTACCCGATTCCACACGACGGCACTCAGAGACCGCTGGACCTGATTACTGCTCTTCCTCAGAGAGAACCCAGTACATAAACAAGTATGCCAAATTCCAGGTGGATTAAAAATCTTGATAGAAAAAGAAAAACTTACGAACTTAGTTTTATTATGGGAGGAGAAGAATGTCAAACAAGGGGAAACACTGAAAAATCTACTACCTTAAAATAAAATTAAGTCTCTATCAAAAGACACATAAACAAGGTAAAAAGACAAGCCACACAACCCAAAACAATAAAGATCATGGAGAAAACACAGGGGCAAGCCTAGGGGCCCTAACTTATGGCATAAATAGACTATCACACATAATTAAAAATGCACAAACAGCAGAAGATAAACTGGGACTTCCTAAAAATTTAAACACATGCATCAAAAGACTTCCAAAAGGGCAAAAAGAGAACCCACAGACTGGGGAAAAAAAATTTAGGAACGACAGAGCTGACAAGGGACTAATCTCTAAAATTTACAGAAAACTTCAACACCTCAACAACAAAAAGACAAAATAATCCAGTTTAAAAATGGACAAAGGACATGAACAGACACTTCACCAAAGAAGACATTCAGGTGGCCAACAAATACATGAAGAGATGCTTGTGATCATTAGCTGTTACCAAAAAAACCAAACCCGTTGCCATCGAGTCAATTCCGACTCATAGCTACCCTACAGAATAGACTAGAACTGCCCCTAGGATTTCTATGGAGCAGCTGGTGAATTCAAACTGCTGATTTTTTGGTTAGCAGCTGTAGCTCTTAACCACTGGACCACCAGGGCTCCCATTAGCTGTTAAATGCAAATCAAAATAACAGTGAGGTATCACCTCACCCTGGCAATAATGGCAATGATAAAAAAAACAGAAAACAACAAATGCTGCCAAGGGTGTGGGGAGACTGGAACTCTCATACACTGCTGGTGGGACTGTAAAATGGTACAACCACTGTGGAAAACGGTATGGCGCTTTCTTTAAAAGTTAGAACTAGAGATACCACAGGATCCAGCAATCCCACTTCCAGGTATATATTCTAGAGAAATAAGAGCCGTGACATGAATAGATACATGCACACCCATGTTCACTGCAGCATTATGCACAATAGCAAAAAGATGGAAACATCCTAAGCGCCCATCAACCAAAACCAAAAACCAAACCCACTGCCATCAGGTTGACTCCGACTCATAGCGACCCTATAGAACAGAGTAGAACTGCCCTATAGGGTTTCCAAGGAGCACCTGGTGGATTCGAACTGCCGACCTTTTGGTTAGCAGCCGTAACTCTTAACCACTACACCACCAGGGTTAAGAGAAGAATAGATAAACAAACTATGGTACATACACACAATGGAATACTACACAACGTTAAAGAATAACAATGAATCTGCAAAACATCTCACAACATGGACGAACCTGGAGGACATTATGCTGAGTGAAATAAGTCAATCACAAAAGGACAAATATTGTATAAGACCATTATTATAAAAAGTCAAGAAAAAGTTTTTTTTTTTAAAAAAAAAAAAAAAAAGACAAGCTACAAACTGGGAAAGGATATCTGCAATATTGACTAAGGGATAATATTCAGAATACATAAAGATTCCTGCAAATCAATAAGAAAAAGACCAACAGCCCCAATAACAACGACAACAACAATGAAGCAAAGAATGTGAACAGGCAATTCACAAAAGAGGAAACTCAAATGCCCCAAAAGTATATGAAATGATGCTTAACCTTATTAGTAATTTGGTAAATGCAAAATAAAATCATAATTGTATATCATTTTACAGCCATCACATAGGCAAAAGTAAAAAGTTTGATAATACCAAGTATTGGCATGGATATGGAGCAATGAAATTCACAATTGTGAGGAGAGCATAAATTAGTTCAAGCACTTTGGGGGAAATATAGTGATATTTTCTCACTTGATGATGCACATATCCCATAACAAAACATTTACATCTTTTATAGAAATTCTTGCCCATGTAAAATAATGCTCCTTGCATTATTGTTTGTAAAAGCAAAAGATTGGAAATAGTATAAATGTCCATCAATAGTAGAATGGATAAACAAATGGTAGTATATTAATGCAACAGAATATGATAATAAAGTTAAAATGAATGAACTCAAAGTGACATCTATCAACATGGATAAATCTCAAAAAAAACACATTATATTGCACAAAAAAAGCTAATGCGGAAATGATATGTATAGTACCATTTACATAAAGTTTAAAAATATGCAGAACAAAACTATACATTATTTATGAATATATACACACATGTAACATATCAAAACACATAAGGGAATGATAAAAATCAAAATCAGAATAGTAGTTACCTTGGAGCAGAGAGGGAGGAGAATGGCAGGGAGGGACCCAGAGTTGGCTTCAGCAATAACTATAATTACTGACTTACTATAAAAAAGAAAAGATCTAACGCAAATCTGGAAACACATTAAGATTTTACTGAGCTGGGTGGTGAGCTGGTATCATTTACATTATTTTCTATAGTTTTATTTACTGGAAAGATTTCATAATTTGGGGATGCCATGAGTCAGAATTGACTAGATGGCAACTGTTTTTTT